GGAGAATGAACTACTGCAAGAATCACCAAGAGCAAAACAAACAACTGAAAACGCTTACGCATGGCCATATGTATGATATAGTATTAGAACTGGAATTCTTAAGCTTGCGAGCTCTTGTGTGTTTTAATGGAGAAAAAAGGAATTCTTTGCTTAGTTGTTTTACTCTGATAGTTGTTTATTGAAGGGTTTTGGCGGTATTTATAATNTTGTATGATAAAGTTGATTGACAGGCAGTCCTGGTTAATCAAATCCGGTGGGATCTAAACTGAAGAACCCTGTGCTGTCTGTATTATTTCCTTTGAAATTGGTGGTCTTACCTAAGTTATGAGTTTTGCAGGTTCAGGATTTCCTGCTACCCAGGATCGGCTCATTTTTTCTGCAGCTTACCATAATATTTGTATACAGGTTGGTGTCGTTGTCTGCAGAGCATGTTTACAGGATTGTAATGCTACATTGTGGAAGTATTCAGAGGCTAGTGGACCTAACTTCAAGAAAATGAGCTACGGATTGTATGATCTTGCTGTTTGAAGAATAGATTGATATTTAGGGATGTTAAGTTTTTAAGTTATTTAAATGCAATGTTAAAACGTTTTCGTATGGGATTGTGTTGTACCTTGTCACAGAATTTTATGCTATGGCCATGGAAATACTTGTCTGGCACTCATTTTATGGTTTCTTCTTTTTACTGATTTAAATCTCTTCATAAATATTGCCATGAAAATAAATCACAAAGTATTTGAAGATAACAATACTGTTTATCCTTTGAGAAATTGATTCTTTGGATATGATTGCTGATGTCAATAAGATTGTGACTTAATAATTTCGATAAGTCAAGTTAAATATTATCTTGTTAAAAATATTGTTTAGCTGAACGATTTCCCAATATTCTGGTGAAGCTACCCAATGATCAAAATTTTTTAAAACGTCTGCTCTTTTGTCTTAAATTCAGTTAATAAACATTCATATAAATTATAAGGTGCGATTAGGGTGTCCCATGTTTGGCTTGATTTTGAGGAGGGACTACGAAATTTTATAAAAAGTCTGCTCTTTTGTCTTAAATCTAATCCCCATCCCCCACTCGTTTCATAACTACAACATTACAACTTTTACGTAAATGTTAAAAAGCTATTTACTTTATTTCAATAATTATTTTAATATATTTTTACCAGTGTTGGTCATTGCTGCCATTTTCGATAGTGTGTCTGACGATACCATTAGGTAGATCGCTGATTAATTTGTCGAATCTTTTTCTGACGAAGACGGTCTCCCCGTAACCATTGTAATGTAAATTGGCAAACGATCTATTCAATCATTTAGGCAGTATGTTGTGTCAACTCTGGCAATTGTCGTCCAATAACCCATCAGCCACCTCTAAATTTTTTTAATTTCTAAAATTTATATTAAAAATCTTAATTATTATTTTATTTAAGATTTTATATTTTTTTTATAATTATAGTTCTATTTAAATAATCAATTATAAATTAATCAAATGTTTGCACCAACCAGTCCTATCCAGTTAACTTCACTCCAGGACGAAAAAAAAAAAAAATTAGTCCAATGTGACTCATCAAACGGACCCCTAGTTCACGGGTTTGGACTTTGGACAACCTTATTTGGTTAACAATAGAGTCAATTCCTTTTTAATCCTCGTGGTGGCTTCAGTTTACTAGAGTTTAAAGAACAATGATTTCAAAAACTAAGGCCCCTGTTTGAATGTTTTGTTTTACTCTTTTGAACTTACCCTATTTAGATTAAAAAACGGAATACAATATATGTTTGTTTACTTATTAGAATCATTATTCTAAAAATTAATTTGAATCAAATAAGATTTTTTTGTCTGAAAATGAAAATGGGAGACTTGTTTTCTATTATCCTATTCTATTCAACTCAAAACATTTTTTCAACTTTATTCAACTAAAAACAATTATTTACTCCTAATTTGAAAATTAATCCACCCAAGACTACCACCGCCTGCCAGAAACCACCACCGACCGCTATGGTCCTAAAAACAATTATCTTTCACTCCTAATATGAAAATTAATCCATCCAAGACTACCACCGTCGACTGCTGTGACCAAAATGACGCAGGACCGGCCAGATCTGACTGATCGTGCGTCGATATGGCCATTGACGACCAGATTCTGGCTAGATCCATCCATTAATGGCGGCTAGAGATTTAGTAGAAAACAACCATACCGGTGCACGACCAACCAGATCCAATTGGTCATGCCTCGTTCGGCAGCTGCTGACTGTCATCTGTGGTGGTCGACTGTCCTCTTTTACTAACCCACCTTTTCTTTTCTACTGTGTGTCTTTTTGCAGGTTAATACCTCGTGGAGTAACCATTTTTCTGGTGGATAGTTATTCTGTTATCAGTCCCCTCTCTCCTGATATTGGGAGTTTGATGTTATTAGAGAGAAGCAAGCCCTCTTTATTCCCCTCAAGAGTAGCCCGAAAACTATGGAGAGTGGGGTTCTAAGTGTGGTTGTATTTTGTAAAAGGGGTTGAATAGTGGCAGAACCTAAGCCTCCAAGCCTATAGGGTGCTGGCTTGGGGTGTGTGATAGGGATAGGGGGGCTTTTGAGGGGTTAGCTTCATTTAGTTTTTTGGAATTCTATCATATTGCTAGGTCTGGTGCAGGGTGCTTTTATTCACTCTATCTGGCTGGTATGGAGATTAGTTTGGCTTTTATTGCTAGGTCGATGGGATTGTTGTCCAGGGAGCAGTCTGCGCTGGGAAGTTGTCTGTGGAGTTGATGCCTGCTGTTGCCTTTTCTCCTCCTTTTTGGTTGCTTTTATGTGCAGGATTTTTGCAGCTGCTATGCTGGATTTTTTTGGTCTTCTTTGGTGGCTGATTTTGATGTACAGCTTGGGCTGTTGGTCTTCTTTATCAAAAGGCCTGCATTGTTTTTGTGCTGATTGTCTCCTTGTATAGCCCTCGTTGAGGCAAGTTTGGTGGTTCTTTTGAATTATAAATCCATGCCTATTCTGCTAGTTTTGGTTTGATTTGTTTCTTGGGTTTGTCCAAGGAACTTACTTGGATCCTCATTCTTTTATTCTTTATACAATTACCCTTTACCAAAAAATAAAATAAGTAAATAATAATAATCTAAATATTTTTAAAAAATATATCACACAACTATTCAGTATTTTATCCAACTTTGATATAGTTTTTAGATATTATACCAAACATATTCTCAGAATCCAATCTTATTCAATTTAATCCAACTCAACTCAAGTTAAGTCACTTTCTTAGAATAACATTTTCCAAATAATCTACCCAATAGGCCCTAGAGTTTTGGTCCTTCTTTAAAAATACTATCATCTTAGTCCTCTTAGTTCTTTAACTTAATAAAAGGTTAGTTGCTAAATTTATAATGAAATGAAGCAAATGCCTTTTTAGAAAAAAAATGAAAAATTACTTACACAAACAATATTAAATTAAATAAACACATTATAGACTAAATTCATCACCTGTACATAATTTTGATTTTCAAATGTGTAATATATATATATATATATATAATTCTATTACACATTTAAAAAAAATGCATTTTATATTAATGTTTAATAACTTTACTTTTGTCATTTCAATATAAATTTAATAGTCAATTAACCTTTTATCGAGTCAGAAAACTAATACAGTGGTAGTTTGAAATGTAGGGACCAAAACCAGTGTTTTAAAACCCGACCCAACCTGGGTGGTTGAACCAGGACTTGAGGCCTTCACCGAGTTCGGTTACAAATTTTCCTACTCATTGAAAACCTTAGAAATCCATGAACAATTGAAGGCTGAAATGTTAGGGCTTTTGAAGAGGAATGACCGATAAGTATAATGGTGGCGACGTTGGTGATTTCCAATGAGTGGATCGACCGAAAATCGCAAAACTATGTCATTGAAAAAAACTTGTTGTTGTTGACGATTTGGGAGGCTAACAAGAGAGGGGTGAGTTGAGTTTTAGTCAGGAGGCTGAGGGGAATGTTTTCATAGTGATTGGGAGGGTTGTTGTTGCCAGAAAAGTGCCCTATTTGTTGAAGCCGACAACAGTGTTTGAGGCATTTTTGCAAGATTTCAAACATATAAGGAATTATATGCAATTTTCAAGAGTATTTATGTTAGATTTCCTTCACACTGACCCAAACTCTAGTATTTAAAATAATTAACCTTAAACAGTAGTGAACTGAAACCACAGGCACTAAAAAGGAATTAACTCGTTAAAACTGTTATTTACTATCTAGCCCATGTTTGGTTGATTTTAACAAAGGATTGGTGAGTACTATAAGCTTGGCAAGGTTGCACTAAATTGAGCGAAATAGACCTGAGCACAGTGCACCGCGTAGGTTTATTATGTATTGAACTAATATAAAATTTTAACACCATGTTTTTTTTTTTCCAGAACTAATTTTCTTTAAAAAATTATTTATATAGTATTACAAAATTTAAAAGACTACTGCTTAGCATGTGCATGTGCATTTACATAGTATTAATATTAAAAAAAGAAAAATTAAGATATCATTGTTTAAACCCAAAATCAAATTCATTAGTTTAAATTGCTCTACAAAATTTATGAAATCAAATTTCTGACAGTATTAATTCATATTTAAGTTATTTTTCATTTTTTATTTCAAACTTTGGAACCAAATTCTGACTCTATTTATCAAACCAAGCTGAAGCTAGAGCAAGGCTCACTCTTCATACCTAAATATTCGAATCTGGTTCTTTTACGTATCTTATCAACGCAAATTCAAATGCTTAAGAAATTCACCACTCTCAGCCTTGGCTTGTGCTTTTCAAAAAGAGCATGTTAATTCAGGTTCAGGGTTTAACTACCAATGTAAGTTTTTAAAGTCTCAAAGACCTTAAAAATGTACACTGATTAGTTTAAACAAAAACCAAGCCCCCCCAAAATCATAAATCCAACGAAATGACTACCGCTATTTGATTCACTAGCCTATTTCTCACTCTTCTTTCTCCATAACAATTCATCTCACAAATGAGATCAATGCAGAAAGCTATTTCAACCATACCATTCATGCAGTAGCACTGTGCTTAGCCTTTGTATGAGCTTGCAATCCACCTTCCGTGGTAAATGACCTGCAAGAATTAAACAAAAATATGTGATTACTTGAAACTATAGAAAATTTCACTGAGCTTAATGGGTAAGATTACCTGTTGCAAGACTTGCATGAGAATGACCTGCCTGATTTTTGAGTTTGCTGCTTTGATAGGCTGCTGTTAGCAGGTGTTTTCCGAGCCTGCTTTGAAGGGTGAGGAGTAGCAGTGTGAACAACCCCTTTCTTGCCTTCTGCGAAAAGTGGTTGTCAAATCAACCATTGTTATCTCTTGACCGCATGTCAGATGCTAATGCTTGTGCAGATTGTATTCATGTCATGCACACTATATTTGTAACAATATAACCAAAAAAAAAAAAAAAACACACACACACACAAATTAACAGATAGAGATACACCAAAGAACACCTACCGAAAAGAAGAGTAAGGCCAACTAACAGAATAATTGATACAAACGCATATAATGAACTAATCTGGTTAATTATAATAATACGAGGAAGATACTAAAGATAAACATCCTACTACCCCATAAAACCATAGAATCCCGTATTCATTTGATCCAATTGAGCTATAGGTTGTGAATCTTATATTCATAACAATTTAAAAATAAATAAAAAGATTAATAGATAGAGATAGACCAAAGGATGTCTACTGAAAAGAAGTGTTAGGCCAACTAACTGAATAATTAATACAAACACCAAATGATGAGTTAATCTGGTTTGTCAAAAATAATAGGTGGAGGAGGTGCTAAAGATGACCATCCTGCAACCGAATACAACAATTGAACCAATTTGAGTGAGTAATTGATGGGCAAACAACAAAATGAATTATATAACCCATCAAAAATAAAAAACAAAGCAAAAGCGACCTAATAGCAATAACACAAATGAGATAAAGTAATCACCAGTCTTTTGAGGTGTGATTAATTTAGTCTTCTTGTCAGGAACAGGGGTTTTTGTGGCAGATTCTGCAGGTCTCTTTCTGCTTGGTTCAGCCTTCAAGAGTAAGAAAATAAATACAGTTAGTACATTACAAATACTGGATAAACAACCAAATAAAGTATGTCCCGTATAGAGCACGTAGTAGTGTCCTCACCTTCTTTGGTGTCTCANCTTCCTCTTTGTTGAGTTCTCATTGTCCTCTTTAGCTGAGATGCCGAGTTTACACCATTTCAAAACTCGGCATTTGAGATTTTAAGTTCTACTTGATTATCATTCTCGAAACAAAACGATCAAACCAATCACCACATCAATCAACAACTGAAAGGACCTCGCTTCCTCCCACTCCCCCTATCCTAACCCTCAAACCCACAAGTCTACGCATTTGCAACGTAAACCCTAAATTCCAACCGGTTTGGCCTTCAATAGCAATAGAGAAATCCAAAAACAATGACGTAAAGACAATCTCGCTCACTCAATCTCCAAAACAACAACATTAGAGACTAATTGAAAACGAGAAATCAAGATTGTGAAAGAAAGTTCTTTAGAGATAGAAAATAAGGGAGGAGTGATAGAGAGATGTTTGGGTCGGGTGATAGGATGTAGTAAGTAGAAAGAGTAGCTTCATGTAAATTGACCATTTGCCCTTTTCCAGAATGGATTTTTCTTACGGAACATGACGGTGGGTGGGTGTCGTTTTGAAACTTGACGGGAGGGAAAGTGTAGTTTTGCCAAACCTTGGGTGGGAAAATGTTGTTCTCTCCTTTTTTTTTAAATGATACTATTGGCACCCTATCTTTTATCTTTTTAGACCTCTTTTATAATTTTTTTTTCTAATTCCAATTTTATCCTCCCGAAAGATTACTAAATAGGGCAAACTGAAAAAGTAATTACGTCTGAGATATATAATTACTACAAAAACTCTAATTTTATTCTACATTATAAAACTTTATTTTAAATTAAATTTTTTAATGCATCTTTTATCAATTTTTTTCTTTCTTTTTTTTTTTTAATTGAAAGAACAAAAATAAATGTGTTACTGTTTTTGAGAAGCAAGACTTAAAGAATATCGATTAATCCAATAGTAGTATTTGTTGATGAATAACTTAAATCATTTTGTGCATATTTTGTAATAACCAAATTCCCTAAGGGCAAAATAATAGAAAAGAACACTTTGCAGTATAATTCATACACCAAATATAACATAGTATAAAAATAATACAATGCAATGTTCTACCAAACATCATACAACATTTTGCATAGTATTATATAATACAATGCAATGCTATGCAATTTGCTTAATACTATGCTATATTGCATGTCAAACATGCCCTAAATGTAAAGAGGATAATTAAGAAAATGAAATACAAGAATGACAGCATTGTCCTTATTAAAAAGAAAATAAATAAATAAATAAATAACCTTTTTGTTTTTTCTATTATTGAAAAAAATTATGAGTGAAGGGGAAAATATTTCTCTGTACTCGTAATTTTCTTTTATGAATAAGGGGAAATGGGGAATATCGATGGGACTAAGCCAATGCTTCATCTTTGATTTCCCATGTACACAAGATAGCATTCTAACCAAATATACACAATAGTAAACCTACCCATTAATAACAATCATATTCTACCCTACCTATCAATAATACCCATTAATAACAACCATATTCTACCCTACCTATCAATAATAAATGATAATCTAACCTAAAAATTATCATATACAATTGGCAAAGAGAGAAATGAGATGAAATAAAAGGGTTTAATATATATAAGTGTTCTGATCAATGTGCCATGTAAAACGGTTTCATGGTTAACATGGATAGGGATTGGGGGTTGAAATATTTTGTTTCATGAGGCCTCAAATGTGGTTATTGGGAATTTCCCTTATAAAGATTGAAAGAGTTCAGAAATAAGAAAAATTTGCTATATCATACAAATTCAGTAGAATACTATAGTTAATTAGTTAGAGATCTATCAATAGCAGCAAATTTCCATATGCAAGATGTAAGGGAATTACTTTCGGGTAACAAAAACAAGATAACTTTTCTCCAATATGCCAAGGGAAAAATTTAAACTATTAAAGAGGTTCTTATTAAGTTTCGGCATTCTCGGTGGCTCTCAAGTCTTGCAATACAATGCAAAGCCTAAATCCTAGCCTGTACAACAGTCTGTTTTAGATTACATAAACTGCCTACATATCCAACTAAATTATCCATCTAATAATATGTATGTCCTCTTTCTCTTCATTAGTATCATAGATGTAATGTAAACATCTGTACAACCTATTCCTGTGCTCCTGATGACTCAACTTGCAACGCCACACCCGTACACAGTGGGCAGGGTGGGTCGCATCCCTCTTCTGGTGTTGTTCTCTTCTCCAGGCAGTCTGCATGATACACATGACCGCAAACTAAAACAGCAACAACACAGTATTCACCTGAAGAAAGTGTGTTTCCGATTCCAAGAAAATAAGGTTTACGTCTCAAAAGCTTCTGACAGATCCCACATACCATCTTCACCGCATCTGGTGATGAGGCATCTTTTACCAAGGAACTGGACCTAATTCTATCTGGCCTCCCAAATGGCTTTTCCTTATTCTCTGGAAAAATGGACAAAATAATTAATATTATAAGAATTATATCCAGAAAAATGGTTCAACTCCAACTTATGTGAACAAAATTAGAAAATTATACTAAGCCAAGCAAGTATCTTCCTCCACTGGGATTGAAAATCAATTTTCTTAGTAACAAAATGGCTGTACTACTTGCAATATTATTCATCACACAGCATAATGAAAAATTCCCTCTAATCCTGGAACATCCAACTGATATTCAATAAAATGAAAGAAATGTTACCTGCATTCTTTCCAGGCTCTGCGTTGCATTGACTAGAGAACTTGTATAACAGTCTCTCATCATGCGAAGTAGGACCCTTGCCATGAGAACTCGATGCATTGCCACGGTTACCTGAGTTTCTCCTAGAGTATTGGTGACCATAGTGATGACGCGATCTCTTTAAGAATATAGAACGACCAAGATTGTAATGATGGTTTGAAAGAGAAGTGTGGGTGCTTAATAGCTTCACTGAATTATCTGTGATATCCATACTAGATGTAAATGGCTTAAGTTCGCTAGAGTCAACTAAATGTGAAGATTTCTGCAATAAAAGAAAATTAAGACACAATTATGATCCTGTCAGGTGCCAAAGATTTTGACAGGAAGGAAGAAATACATAAATCCAGCAAAAGTTACTTTACTAAAAATTATTGGCGACTTTCTATTTTTGCAATTAACCAGGAAAAAAAAACTAAGAGGTAACATGAAAGCAGATATTATATTGTGTAAAGTTAAAGGAAAATAACAGCCAACCTCTTTAGACAATTCTTGCATTTCAGAAGAGCATGGAGCATTGTCTGCAATGAAAAGGAGAAAAAGTGAGCTTTCTCGTGCACTTAAAAGAAATCCTCAGACCAACTACATTCTTGTCACCATATATTGCAACAACTAGACAACCAGGCTTACACACTTAATCATTCCAAATCAAGCAAGGAAAGCAAATGAAATTACAGGATCAACACAAAAGAGATAATCCCAAGGCCTAGACAATGTTATGCCATGAGAAAGAACCCAAATAAATTTCTATGCCAGACAAATGTAATCAACTTGATTACTCTTTTGAGAGAAACAAAAACATACTCAAATTAAAAAATACAACACAAAAATACCCAAGTTTAGGTAAAATATCAGAAAACAGTGTGAGTATTGCCAAGAGCAGAAACTTTATACCTTGATAAAAGGAGGGGGCAAAAATACTCCAACTTAAAGCTTGTACATTTAGATACTTACAACACTCTCCAATGAATTACTTGGTAAGTAAAAGAATAGAGAAAGGTTAAGTAGTGAACTGGTACTGCATTCACGAGGAACAAAGAATAATACATAACAAGATTAAATTCTACCGGAAAGTGGAACCACATAACTTATTTGTTAAGGGTTTTTATTTTTTATTTTGTTGTATATATTGTTCGGAGCTGTCCGAAACTTCGCTAAGATGGTTAAAAGAGTTCAACCCATGGAATCCAATGCACTAAACGACATTAAGGAGGCAAGGCACAACACATCACAAATCAACCCATTAAAGGAAATAATGAAAAAATCAATTTAGAAAGGTATCTTCCCCATTTTTATTTAGAAGAATAAATAAAAACACTTCCTTCTGTTATCTATCACCACCAATTTCCATAAGTCCTTTCATACAATTACGTTTATCAACTAAGCATTATACAAACCCTAACCCACCAATTCTTCTTCAAGAAGAAAAACAAACTAAAGTTATAAAATTTCCCATTAAACAATTAAAAACACCACCAAAATCTCTAATTTAAAACCTTATTGTTCCAATAATCAAACACACAATTCGCCTTCCCTTCTACTAAACTTTCCACATTCTTTTTCACTTTAAAAACCAAACAGAACCCATAATAAAGAAAACGTACCCGAGGAAGAAGGAGGATGATTCTTGTTCTTTGTTTTGTCAGCAGTTCGCTTTCGCTTACCCATAATAATGAAGACGATGGTGAATATAAAGAAAAAGAAGGAAAAAAAAAAAGGAAATGCAAAGTATTAACGGCTAAGAAAAAGAGTGTAGAAATGAAGGGGCTAGGTTATGTGGTATTGCGATGACAAAGGGGGAACTTTCATCGATAGATGAAAAGAAAGGAGTATGGATGATCGTTCGTTTTTTCAATTTTTGGGTTTAGACAAGAGACTGAATAAGAGAGATTGATTTTCAGTAGCGAAAGAGTCGGTGTAAGAGATGGCTTGGCTTGCTCTTTTAACTCCCCTCCACCTCATCACTTTCCCTTTTCTTGGTTACAAATTGTGGGCAAGTTTTAGGTGACACTTGCCCAATTCCTTATCGTCACGTTTTTCAATTATACTTGTTAATCAAAGTGTTTGGATTAACTTTTTACATCTCGAATAATCATTTCGATCTATTAAATACTTTATAAACTTAAAAAATATTATTATTTAATGTTTGTATATCCAAACTGCTTCTTTTGGACTTGCAAAGTATCAATAACACTACAGACACCGAAAAAGTTATACCAAAATTTTGTACCGTACACGCACATCTAAATATTTTTATAATTTTTTTCTAGTGAACGGCCGTCCATCAAATTTGGACGGCCATTCACTCACATGAACGTCCGTCCATATTATATGGACGGGCATCCATATACAAGGGACGGACGTCCCCATTCAAAGGACGCCTGTCCATAAATAAAATACAATAAAAAAATTTGTAAAACATTATGGACGGCCGTTCATAGGTTGTGGACGGCTGTCCATTAATTTTGGACGGGCGTCCGCAAATATGGGACGTCCGTCCAAACTTAATTTGTTTTAAAAAATAAAATAAAAAATTTGGACGCCCGTCCATAAATTATGGACAGGCGTCCCTTAAGTTTGGACGGGCGTCCATAGTCCATTATGTATGGACGGCAGTCCACACTAAAGGGACGGCCGTCCATTATTCTTTCTCTCTTTTTCTATTTTAATTCATTCTTCTTCTTCTTGTTTTGTTTGAGTTTCATTGCTGAAACTATTTACATTTGCAGATTTTTAGGACTGTGTGTTAATGGCTTTGGGATCATTGGTGCAATTATTCATGGGGTTTCAGTTCCTGTTTTCTTTATATATTTCAGGAAGATGATCAATATTATTGGATTGGCTTATCTTGCCCCCAGAATAGCTTCTCACAAAATTGCGAAGGTATCCAAAATTCTTCAAGAATATGTAAATTACTTCATCTTTAACTTTCTAACTTATTCTTCAAGACAACCCCAGCTGGGTATTTTCCCTTTTCTATTCCATCTTTGAAAATTTAAAATTCATCCAATCTCTTCCATCTTTACTATCTCAACAACACTACTCCTTAACTCAGTCACAATGGCAACCCAAGAAGTGGAGAAGAAATCACAAGACACAGTTCTGGAAGAGTTTCATCAGCTGGCTGGGAAACTTAGGAAAGATGAAGAGGGAGCACACCTTCAGGTTCTACTCATAATAGTGGAGGACATGGGCCGCATGCTTCATCCAAGCTGCATGGCGCCCTTATTCCAAAGGAAGAAGAAGAAGCAGAATTTTTTTTTTTTTTTTTTTAAGTATGGACAGGCGTTCGTTACAAATGGACGCCTGTCCAAAAGTAATGGACGGCCGTCCATAACAGATGGACGCCCGTCCCCAATATTTATAAAATTTTTTATTATATTTTATTTATGGACGAGCGTCCTTTAAATGGGGACGCCCGTCCCTTGTATATGGACGGATGTCCATATGAGTGAATGACCGTCCAAATTTGATGGACGGCCGTTCACTAGAAAAAAATTGTAAAAATATTCAGATGTACGTTACACGTAGGCCGGTACAATATTTCGGTGCAAAAATCCCGGTCTCCGTAGCATTATTGGCAAAGTATATAGCTAAACTTAATAATCACAATTTCTTCAAATATGTTGAGATAATTTAAAAATAAACTTAGCAATAAAATTTAGGTATTTATCAATTATACCTTCAATAGAATAATAAATGTTATTATTCCTAAGATATAATGTTAGACTATACAAGATTTGGCAATCTACCGCATTCCGACTATTTTTGTTCTTATTATTTTTCATTAAGGGTAATTAGGTTAAATCATTTGATTTTTATGACTAAATTTGTCTTTTAAATAAAACCTTAATATTAAATATTTTGATAATAAAAATGAATAAGAATGGATATATATATATATAAGACAAAGGATGAGATCTTTCAACTTAAAATTTGGATTTAAATGTTTTCACAATTTTTCAATCGTGAATTCAATAATATCCAATGGTATAAAATTTATTTTTTCATCATCGAGGGTGTCTGAGCCAGCTTACGCACACCTCAACTAATCCTCCGGACCTTAAAACTGGCGGCTGAGTAAAAGCCCCAACGACCATTTCTATTAGTACCTAAGGGAACTTGAACTCAGGAGTTCATGAAACCTCATTTTACATTTTTACTATTAGATCACCCAATGGTGGTTACAGCTCTAGTATAGAAATTGCTGACATAGCAAACATAATTACTACCTCCAAACTCTTTTTCATATTGATTGGATTGCAAAATATCGATAATTGAAAATTGTGTCTCAATTTAAGTCAAAATTTTAAGTTAAAAATCATGTCCCATAAGACTATCTTATTAATTTTTTTAATAATTATGTGTATATTTCAATTCAATAGTTTAAATATATAAAATTTCAAGATTATAGGTGTAGACGTAAAAATCTACCTGTACGGAAGGGGGGTCTGATCCCGTGAGGTTGAGGCCACTAGCGATCTGCTGTACCTGCACACGTAGAGAAACACACGTGAAGCGAACGGGAAACACCGGGGTGGTGTTTGCCGTAGGCACTCCGACGCTCAAGTCAGCTAGGCTGAAAGGCTAATATGGTGAGGGCTAGGGAGTGAGAAATTATCGGAAGTCTAGTCGGGGACTGTGACTACGGCGGTGAAGCGAAGCTCTCAAGTAAGAGCTTAGGGTGTGAAGGTGTAATGTCGATGTCCTTTGTGAGAGGGATGGCCTCTGCTTATATAATCACTATCTGGTCTCCCAATCCTGATAGAAATAGGAGTCCTAGTATGACTCTAATGCAAACCCTAGAAGAATTAGGGCCGTGGTGAGCTGTCTTACCAGTGTCTAAATAGGAAGTTGATTCTGATTAGTAGAGTAACTTCGAACAGGAAAGTGATCAGGAATGGGAAGTATTCTGAGGAGATCGTGGGCTCTATACTCACCCATGGACTTGGGAAATGGGCCGGGATTAGGAGGCTCGTGCCCACGTGGTCTGGGCCGGTTACACATTGTACCGAATGGGCCTAACCCGATAGGGTCATATCGGGATTGGGCTTGACTTCTTTTTCAGCGTCGTGCCCATTTTCTTATTTAGGCCAAGGACGATTTTTGGCCCTAACAGTTTGCCCCCCACTCTCTGAGTTAGAGTCTCTTGAGTCAGAGAGTAGGAAGCGATCGATGGGTGCCCGGTCGTCCTTCCTGGATGACCAGTTGTTGGTGTAGCTGATCCTACAGATGATCATCCCGGGGTCGTTCGGTATCCATACATGATCCGAAGTAGGCATGATAGAATGGTATAAGGAGCCGAAGGGTAAGGGAACCAAGTTCCGGAGCTCACGGGATCGTTCGGTATGTCCGACCGATTGGAGAGGGGAGATCATTCCACAGCCTGGATGCTTGCTCGGCATGCCGGGTGGAGCGAGGTAGGAAGTTCTTTGATCTAAAATCATTCGCTCGGTCGGTATGTGTGGATGACCCAGTGGATGAAATACGAGGACCTTGACTATAGGTTTCTCGTTGGTCCGCAACGGAGGGACGAACGGGCGAGACCTCTTTGATTTGAAAGGGGCCGAAACGTGCCGTTCCAAGCTGATCGATCAGTCGGTCGGACCTTCTGGGATTGAGAAGCATGGGACATTGTGAGTGCTTCGAAGGGTTGAGTCGGTCAGGAGGAGCGGGTGATCGAGTGGAACGGATACGCGAGCCTTGACCTTTAGCTGTTCGTTCATCCGCTACGGAAGGGTGAGGGGGCGAGGCCTCTTGTCTTTTCAATATAGTGAGTTCGGGCCGAGTCGTCCCAAGCTGATCGACCAGGTGGGAGCAGTATAATTGCTCGGTCACGAAGATAGGGCGAAGGAGTATGGCTCGTACAGTTTTGCGGTCTCCTAGGTGCCACGGATGTTTGCCACACGTTCGGTGGGGATTGACTCCTCATTTTCGAGGCGGGAAAACGAAAAGGCGTCCTGGCCATTGTGCAGTGGAAAGCCGCCACGTGTCCGTTTCTGTCAGGCCTCTTCTATAAAAAATGACGAATGGTCCGTTCCTATTCCATTTGCGTTTTTTCTGTAACTTGGTCCTTTCTTTTTCTTTTCCAGTTTTCGTTTTCGTTCCAGTTTTCCTGAGCAGTGGTGGTTTCCTTCTTTCGTTTCCAGGACGGCCTTACAGTGAGTACTGTTCCCTTTCATCTGTTTTGTTTGTTCGTTTGGTTTTGGTTTTGTTTGCGGGAGAGACCGAGATATTTAAGTTTTTAGATAAGAGAAATTTTTTTTTGAAGTTTCTGGGAACTTTGAGGGGGATTTGAGGTGTTTAGGTCTCGTATTTCACCAAAAAAAGGTGTGCATTTGGGATTTTCCGGTGGGTTTTTTACTGTTGTGGACGGGATTCGTGAAGGCAAAGTCGGGTTTAGCTTGGACTTGTTCGGTTGGTCTTCCTGATCGAACTAGAAGCTGTCTTGACATTTTGGGGGTTAGGTCCTCCAGTCTATCCAACTGAGTGGAGGGGTGTGTGGAGTGGATTAAAGAGTCGTTCAGTCGTCCTGACCGAACGGGTGGTTGTGTTAGGATTAGTGTTCAGGCCGACCAGTCGGTCACCAGGGGCGATCCAAGGGATACTTTGATCAGGGATCCGCCGGGTCGGTCACCTGGGGCGAGCCAAGAAAGGCGAGAATCAGGAGCTGGGTCGGTCTACCGAGAGGGTCGACCAAGGTTTAGTTTGAGCTTCTCTGGGTCGGTAGGCTGGTACTGAGGGGCGAGTGGCAAATCTTTCTGATCTCGGTAGGTCGGTGCCTCAGGTCGAGTGGCTGATACTTAGCGTTTTTGGCAACCAGGGGCGAGTTCTTTCGGTTGGTCTGTTGGGTTGGGTGATTGAGCCAACATGTCAGATTCTGACTCGGCTGGTTCGAGCGGGATTGCGGCAGACTCGGGGGATGAGTATGAGCAT